AAATATCAGGGATCTGCTTAGACCCCTGATATTTCCCCAGAGCCCCCAACAGTAAAAAAATAAATACATACATTTTAAAAAACATAATTTTTTTTAAAAGGTTAGAAAAAAAAATGATGGTTTCGGTCTGACAAATTTTTTATTTTCAGTTTCGTTCTGAAAATTCTATTTTGGTGCACCTCTAGTTAAAACCCCTGTCAGGTTTTTCATTTATACACTTAAAGTGGAACCCGCCTCCCCTTGCTCCTTCGCCAGCACCAACATCTTCTTCTGGGTTCTGACTTGATTGGCCGGGGACGGATGATGTAACTCAGGTACATGGGGAGTGCATTCTGGTGATTAGAAGCAGAAGTGGCCAAGGTATGTCTATTATGCACATAGGCACCCAGGAGGCTAGAAGAACAGAGAATGCCTAAGCACGGTAACTGTGGAAGTGCTTTGTAGCTTCTAATTTGGAAGTATGCTTAAGGTGCTTTTTTTTATTAACAACCTTCATATTTTACTGTGCTAATAAATTCCTGTTAGACAGCTAAACTTTAGGTTCATAGTAGAAGAAGCAACATCACCGACAAAATATTATTTTCAATAAAAATGTTTTGCATCATGTACAATGCACATTGCATTACGTTATACACAGAACACTATCTGCCAGATCCTACTCCTTTTCCTTGAACATGTTTCACCCCAGAAAAGGCTTTTTACACAGGAAGTAAAGCTCTCTGTGCTCTCTAGCTCCCTAGTCATCTCTTCTTGTGCTCGCCTCCAGATGACTTCCCTAGAATCTCTTCCATCTTCTGGAACTCCTTACCCTAACCTGTTCTGCTATCTCCTACTCTGTATGCTTTTATAGGAGATCCTTGAAAACTCATCTCTTCAGGGAAGCCTATCCCACCTCTACCCAACCACTGAATGATGACTTTATCAAACAACTAATTCCCACACATCTACCATCTTTTGTGTCACTTGCCCTTCCCTTTCAGATTGTAAGCTCTCACGGGTGGGGCCTTTCCTAACCATCTTGTTTTGAATTTGATTATAAATGTAATGTCTTCCTTATATTGTAAATTGCTGCGCAAAGTGTTGGCATTTTGTAAATCCTGTATAATAATAATAAAAAACTATTTTACATAAAAAATGGAAATTGGACCCACAGGAGATTTTAGCCATAATGTGCCAGTATGCACAGCATATTAGCACGTTATGGCAGACTTGTCAAAATGCTCCCCTCCAACGCTGCACTTCTCTCTCACTGGCACTCCCATCTTCCTGGTCTTCTGCTGGGTTTCGAGTGTTCAGTTGCTTGATTGGCTGGGCTCCGATGGCATAACTCCAGCGCACGCCAGGTCTGAGGCTTTTATGGCAGAAGAGACTTAAACAGCCTCTCCTGCCATAGAAAACCTGCCAATTAGCAGTTTGTTTTAACTTTTACTTCTGCTTTAAAGCTTTAAGTTTATGTCAGGTTTAATAAATATGAAGGAGAATGCTTCCAATAAATAAAATCAGTGGGGCTTATGTCTAAAGAGTTCAAATTAGTTTCCTGTCTCTATAAAGCTCTAAAGCAGAATTGTCTCATCATTTATCGCCAAGACAGCACATCTTGTATTGCAAATGATCCAGCAAACTCTGAAGACAGTTCCCTGATTTTAAAAAAATTGAATAGATTTTCTCTTATTTTTTATTGAAAATGTTCTCCACACTAAAAATAAAGGTAGCCTAAAGCATATCTGGCAATTTAGGGTATTGTTCGCTGTTTTTTCAAATGTCCTCTACTGTTCTTTAGTAATGATGCTCAGCATCTCCACTTGCCAATTTGATGTTTTATGAAATGGGAGGAAAAACAAAATAAATTGCTGCGGTGAGACAGATTTACTGTATGAGACAACATGAAAACAAAATGTTTATGCTGTCTCTGTAATTGGGACATGGAGGCTCCTGGCTTCTCATGCTGCAGCTGTCAGTTCCACTGCTGGAACTACCAGGGCCACAGTGGTTGCATGTGTGACAAGGCCCTGGCGTTCCGCCACTTGGGGGGCCGGAAAGGAACAGGAGGACCAGCCCTAGTAACTGCCGAGGCACCGACATTGCCTCCCTGGGGGGGCCTTCATGGTTTCTTGCACCGAGCCCTGAGGTTTCCAGTTATGCCTCTGATCAGTTCCTTAGGTGTCATGCTGACCCTCTGGCTTCAATATTTTGAGTTACTAGTCCAGAGCAAATATACAGAATTATGACTCGCCTGACCTGCATTATATGCTAAAGGTATTGATGCTAGCTGTTCACAATAAAAGCCAGGCAACTAGCATCTTTAGAAGTAGTGATATAGCAGTTGTTTGGTGGAATCACAGCCATTAGAAGGGGACCAGGCATCTGGCACACCTTAAAGTGACCCTGTTGTGAAATAAGAATGTCACATACACCTCTAGTTGAGACTACTAGCAACTGTGCAATGTAAGTATAAGGAGGCTGGTCCAGAGCGAAGATGTGCAGCCAATTCTAGAGTGATACAACAAATATACACCTCTAGTTGAGACTACTAGCAACTGTGCAATGTAAGTATAAGGAGGCTGGTCCAGAGCGAAGATGTGCAGCCAATTCTAGAGTGAGTGTATACAGGGCCGGTTTTACTTACTCTGCTGCCCCAATGCCAGGTTCCTTAATTCGCCCCCCTATATGCACGCTGCATTCAAGTGATCTCGGCAACCTCACAGAGATCACTTGTACAAAACAAGCGGCGGCTCCCCCGCTTTACATTTAGCCCTGCTTGCCCAAAGCAGGGCTAAATGTAGAAAACAACTACCCGCCTGGCCCCTGAAACTGCAAATCCCGGGTGTCGGGAGACAAGAATTCCACACCCATGCTGCCCCTCTACTCCCTGCCTCGGTTGGCCTTGTGGGAAATCCGGCCCTGAGTGTATATACATAGTGAGTGACAGGAAAAGGCTAAATAAAATCAGCAGCACTCACATGCAAAAAAAAAAAAGGTGAAAACCCTTTACCTGGCAGTTATCGATGATGCACATTGTTTTACCAATTAGGGTTAAGATCTACCCTGAATGGATCTGCTATAAACCAGCCCCTAATAGATGATATTTTTCTACATATATTTATTAGTGGTTGAGATATTATCATAAAAATATATGTTTGATAAATACAGTGAGCTCAATTCTCAAAGTTAACATACTAAAGGGATCCCTATTTGGGAAAAAGTGATAGTTGTTTTCAGCCCAATGGCATTCATGTGGATGAAAATAAAGACACGGATTGTGAACGAAGCCTATGAATGAGGTCCCTGGAATTCATTAGGTGTCATAGACTCTATTTATAATTCTATCATGCCTCTGAAGTATAAGTGTTGGTGCTTGTGTCAGATTCATGTACCTGTTAGAACAGGTACATGAATTTTTAGCATGTAGGCCAACACTGAGGTCACTAGAGGCCACCCACCACCATCTGCTATCAATCACAGGAAGGAGGACCTGATGGGAAACCAGTCTCTAAGCATCCCAATCAGTCCTCCCCACCACTGTCAGTTGTTAGCCATGTGATAGTAACCAATAAAGTTATGCAGCCAACAGAGACCTACCAACCGGGGATGGGAGGGAGAAACAGGGATTTGGCCCACTCTGGCCTGTCTAACTCAAATAGCCCATCATGTACAGGCCAATGTGAATTTCGATAATCGTTCGTTAGACAAATATTCGGTGAGGTAGTATTGCTATCAACAGAACATATTTTCGTTTGCACATGTGCAGTGTTCCTACAGCAATTTTTTTGTACGAAAACGTCACTAATCCATCGATTTTCGTACGATTCACAAAAGTTTTCCAGCCAGACTGATCGAGGAAATTTGGCCAGAAGTACAGTAATGAAAATCGTTGGTTTCCCATCAACTGATTGATGATCATTCAAAAGACCATTTGTGGACGATTTCCCAACTAAAATCGAGAGTTCTTAATTATCTCCAGTTTCCTTATCTACGAGCTTCTTTCTGAATTTGTGGCAGCCAAGGTTGAAGTAGAGCAAAAAAGAACTACCTGAATCTATCACACTTCAGAACTACGTCAATCTGTCGGAAGTAGTAACGGAGTCATCACAAGGCTTTTATGGATTAGGTGCAGGAAGGGCCGTCCGTAGAATGAGGGAGCCTGATGCTGTTGCCTTAGGCTGGGTTCACACCTAGGCATATCGAATATGCTCGTTTGTCGCGCGTTTTGTGATGAAAAACGCCCCAAAGAAGCTCCTGTACTTCTTTGGGTGTAGGACGTTTTGTAGAGCGTTCATACGGCCTGTAATACGCCCAGGTGTGAACCATACCCATAGGAAATAATGGGATTTCGGTGTTTGAGCGTTTTGCAGAGCGTAGGAACGTGCTACAAAATGCCCAGGTGTGAACCGGGCCTTAGACGGCATCTCTTTGGGTCACGTGGTGGTGGGGCAGCAGGCAAAGTTGCAGGGCCACTCTGATGCACAATGTTTGCAGTGTACCCACCGCCCCCTTTCAATGTAGGGAAGTAAATACAATCACAATAAAATTCAAGACAAGATGGTAAGGAGGACCCTGCCTGTGAGGTTAGGACCCATACACATCTCTCTGCCCAGGTTTTAGCAACCTGGGACTCTTTGGCCAGCGTCCTGCTGAACACCTGGCAACCAGTGACGCCACTGGTTGCTAGGAGCTTAGAGTTACGCTCTGGCCAGCGTCATGCACCCCCCCACACACATACCCCTATGTTATTATGCACCCCACCCCTGCCAACTCAGGAGGCAAAAAGGCTAGGTACTCCCCTGGGTGCAGAACTTTCTATAGACACCACATATCCAGAAAAATGTCACAAAGGCTTTTTTTGAATCGCACCCAGTAAGTTCTAGGGTCGCATTCACGTGTTACTGCTAAAAATAGAAGCGCCGATGTAGTGATGAATAATGACCAGCAGGTGGCGCCTGATCCGTACCGTAAATGGTACGCTCTGCTTAAAGCCAAAAGAGGAGCATCCCAGGAGCAGAGCTCATTTCACCTAGGGCATGAGAAGCCGTGTACTGTACTCCTGACTGTGTGGGCGCTCTGCATCCAGGCTATACCCAGAATATAGGACTTCCATGCTGGCAGGACCCCTATCACTGCAGCCTGCTGTCTGGGCTCTCTCCTGCACCTGTTATCACAGCCAGGTGCTCTGGCATGCATTGAACTGTCAGCAAGATCTGAGCGAGCACCGAGACTGAACACATGGCAGCCTGGGAGTTGTGTGTAGCTGCGCTCATGGCATGGGTGACCATGGTGGCAGCAGCGAAGGGACCCCTCAACTGCAAAGAAGTGAGAGCCAGCTTTCATACTCTGCAGCCCGGAGTGAGGTGGGTCCCGGAGTCACCTGTGTCAGGTAAGCTCTGATCACTTCATTCTCTGTACACCACCCTAATCCTGTGCTAATGGCTAATACACTCCAGCTGCTGTGTCACATGTGTGGACATGCTGGAATTTGTAGCTCCACAGAGGCTGAATGGGTATAGTATACCTTTACATGGAACAATTGTGACATGCATACTGTTCTGGTAGAATCGTGTCTATGCATACAATATACAGAATATAGATTGTATGTGTTGTAATGTATGGACAAAGAGGAAGTGAAGGCAGTTCTTTCCTTCATAGGTGAAGTCTCATGCAACCTAGATTTTACTTTATTACATGGCATCCTCAAACTCTCTCTATGTCTATGTATTGACATGGCATCCTCAAACTCTCTCTATGTTTATAGTTTTCTACATGGCATCCTCAAACTCTCTCTATGTATATGATTCCACATGGCATCCTTAAACTCTCTATGCATATGTTTTACATTGCATCCTCAAGCTCTCTCTATGTGTATGTATTGGCATGGCATCCTCAAACTCTCTCCTATGTATATGCATGTACATGGCATGGTCAAACTCTCTCTATGTGTATGTATTGACATGGCATCCTCAAACTCTCTCGCATGTCTCCTTACAGTTAACTATTTGTTTTAGCCTTTAGACTTTTCCTGGCTATTGTCCATGAACATTGAAAATATAATATTGTAGTTGGGGTATCTGGGGAGTTTGTAAGCCAATCAGCCTTGCTGGAAGTGATTTCCTTTGTCTACAATTTGGAGCTGCATAATTTACTCTATGCATAGAGTGATTGCCATCTCCTCTAATGATTAGCAAAGCAAATGCATTTCTATTTTTGTATGTGGACGGTTAAGAATGGCTGTACATGGGCAGCTATCTCCCTCACAAATGACAGGCAGGGAAATAACTGTCCATGTTCAGGTGAGTGTCCTGAAAGTTTTCACCTGATGCTAACAATGGGACGCACACCTGGTACCACTGATCCTTCCTTGTTATTCTCCAAAGACGATTGAAGGATTGGATCCTGCTCACATAAAAAAACATCTAGTACAAAAGAGAATGTAGCAGAATGAGCACTCATGACCATCATTCAGGTGCGCTCATTGTCACCCACTGCTAGATCAGAAAGGACCTGGTTGTTTCAAACAATGTTCAAATTTCAGAGCATTGCTTATCTTTTATGGTCACCCAAACACATCCTTTTGTGCATTTCCCCCCCTAATGTGTTGTTCCTTTTAAAATCAATGAACATGCATCAAAATGCATGTCAACGCGTGTTGCAGTGCATGGCGACATGCGTTTTAACCTGCAATACAATGCGTGTTAAGGTGCATTTTAATGCATGTCCTTTAATTTTAGTGGAAAACACATAGGCAAAAACTACAAAGGTGTGTTTCCATTTTACGGGTTGTTTCACATGTATAGAGATGTGTACTTTTTACTGCACATGGACACTGATGCATGGTAGACAAAGTGCCCCTCTCTCTCAATTCGCGCAATTCACGTCATCAGAAACACATAAGTTGCTTTGCGGTGTGTTTGAAAAAAAAATGAGACAGGTATGGTTTTGGTCAGTGGACACCTGTTGAGGGCTCATTGAAGATAAATGGGCAACATGCCACAATATGTTTCTGTACAAGCAAAAATGCATGTCAGTTCACACATAGGAGGCATGAGCATCAACTTGTGTTGCATTAAAACAACCCATTCATTTAGATGGGCTATGTAATGCACCGCAACAGACCAAAAAATGTACATGTACCATTTCCTAAGCACAGCTCAAGGCATGGTAGTGCATTACTGCATTTTACCGTGTGCTGCAACTAAGGTGCGTTGGGGTGCTATTCACATTTAGTTATTGCAGCGAACTTAAAGATTGTAATAAATAATCTTGTGCCAGACCCCACATAACTATAATCTGGTTGGCCAATTAGCAGGACAGATTGTGCCTTCTTGCCTGTCAGCGCAACTATTAAACACAGTGGTTTCTTCTTGATAAGATGCAAAAAAAGTGCAGTAACCCATAGCAACCAATCAGGTTATAGCGTAAATCAATTTTGTGCAGCCTGGACAAGGAAACTTTTCTGATAAGTTGCTATGGGCTACTACATTCCACGCATCACTCTTTGCATTATCATAATGCACATTAATATTTTACCTGCCTTGCACGCCATTGTTCTCTTTTGAAGTGAACAATGCGATTTGCTGACTTTACGGCTTTGGTATTTTATTAATTGTTTGTTTTTTCCCCCACTGTATGCAATGGTTTCTGTAGTGTTCAGGCTTCATCAATTGAGGCACATTAAATCACTGTAGTTGTCATACATGTTTAGTAACCTTCTAGTGTGAAACAGGGAGGAGAGCCAAATCAAAATTGTATGGGGGAATATATCAAAACTGGAGCAGACCAAATCTGGAGCAGCTGTGCATGGCAACCAATCAGCTTCTTTCTCCAGTTTGTTCAGTAAGGCCTCATTCACAGGAGAAACGGCCGGCACGTACAGCTCGGTGCTGCGTGCATGGCCGTATCGGGCAGCTCCCGTATCGCGCGGCATACGGCCGTGTAGTTCCATAGAGAAGGACAGGGGCTGCGTACTAATCACACACAGCCCCTGTCTTTCCAGGGAGCTGCCTGATACGGCCGTGCCGGCAGCAGTACGTGCCGGTAGTTTTTCATGTGAATGAAGCTTTAAGGTTTGAAAATGAAAGAGAGAAGCTGATTGGTTGCCATGTACAGATGCTCCAGATTTTGTCTGCTCCAGCCTTGATAAATTCCCTTCTATATGTTTTATGTGCATGTTCAGATGGGATTTGTACCCACATTTTGACGTGTTTTGGCACTTTTTGCTTTGTTTACACATATGTGTTGCTGTAACATTTTATTTGGGGGTAATGGTTGGAAATGTCAAACAATATACAGTTTCAAGTAAACAGTACATTTCAGCAGTTAGGCAGAGAAGAACATGTGTTTGATTTACAACTTATTTTGAAATGTAATTCTCATAAATATACAATGAATTGCTGTGCAGCAAATCGCATATGTTTTGCTGAAAACACAATATCCTTATTTTTTAACATCTCAGGAGGTAAACGAACATTAAGGAAATCAATAAAACAGTGGCAACTGTGGAATAGGAAGTGTTACACAGGTCCTGGGGATGTCTTATATTTTTCCTTTAGCTTCTGATTTTACAAATTTTTTTTTTTTAAGGACCCCACGAAAGAATAGGAGCTATATTTGTCTTTTATTTTTACTCTTCAATGTTAAAGTGACACTAAACTCAGGAGTTAAATCTTAAAAATGCATTTACCTTTTTAACTATTAACAGAAATGTTCCAATGAATAAAGGACATGTATTGTGAATTATTCAGCTGTAGATCCTCAAAACATCTCTGATTTCATACTGTTCTTCCTTCCGGAGGATGGCTACTTTTGTTCCCCATGGTCTTTGTGTGTGTTTTGTAAAGTAGCCGCCGCCACAAGATCACTCCCGTGATGGACTACAATCTCACTCTTAGTTTACTAATTTGTATTGAGATTGTAGTCCATCACGAGAGTGAGCGTGGAGCGGTGACTACTTTACAACACACACAGGGACCATAGGGAACAAAAGTAGCCATCCTCCAGGAGGAAGGACAGTGTCAGCATGAATTCAGAGATGATTTGAAGAGCTACAGCTGAGTGATACACAAAGTCCAGTATTGTTTTACCAATTTGCCAAAAAATGTATAAAAAAAAAAAGAAGACGACCCTGATCGAAGTTTGCCAGGACAATGGATAGGAGGAAGAGGTGAGGTTGAGTTTCCCCGACGTTCTCCTGACTTAACACCTGACTTCTACCTATAGGGGACCTTAAAGGATGTAGTGGACTGTAGAAAACCAGCTACACTGGCGGTACTTTAGGAAGAAATTGAAACAAAATGTGCAGCGAGGACACTTTGGCCAACGTTACTCAAGCAGTAGTTCGCCATAATCAGAATTGTCTGGACGCTGATGGTAACCACTTTGAGCACCTCTTGTAATTGCAGAAGTCAAACGTGACTTCTATTGAGTATTATAATTTTATCGGTATATATTGAGTATTACCATTTTAATACAGTTTTTTTTCCTTTCTTAAAAAGTATATACATTTTTTTTGCCAGCCTCTGTAATTAGGGTACTCAAATGCATTTTTAAGATTGAACTCCTGAGTTTAATGTCACTCTAATGTTAATTTATTTGTACCTTATCTTTACTTGGGTAAGGTACAGGCACAGAGAAAATAATAATTATTTTTTAACTCTTCTAAAGCTTTTTTTGGATGAATTGTATATAAAAAAATCTCTCTATGCTGATTCTAGAATCTCAATTGTAATGTTCAGTCCCAGAAGCCACACATGATGTGTACTTTAATGTAGTATATGAGTTTTGTCAACTACTGATTTAAAAAAGGAAAAGAAAATACAGATTTTTGTAACTGTTATGGAAATACTGATGTTTGCACTTTTATCTCTACATTGGCCCTGTTTTTTCTTATTTTCAGTATTTGAAATGTGTATGATGTGTGATGTTTGCTGCAAAGTACTGTAAGTCCATGTGTCATACTGTACTGTCATCAGTTAGCTTTATTCCTCCTAGATGGGAAGATGTGTTGTATTGAATTATACCTCACTGGTTGATGTAGATTACTGTTTACAAATCCTAATTCTGTCTAGATTTTCCTTTTGAGACAGTGATACAGCTATCTGGGCACAGCAAAACGATATTTCTTTGGTAAGGTGTAAAGCTGAATACATATGTGTCTATTAAGAAATATTTTAGCAGCCCCCTATGGCTTAATATTTTATTAAAACATGACATATGGATACAGTTATGGAAACAGTTGTGTTTTTTTTTTTCTCCAGACTAAAACAGACAAAGGAGACAAAATCACCACTTAGCTCTATAGAGATGCTATTTCGACACTTCTTAAGATATCAGTCTTGAGATTAAACTCAAGTTTATGTTTAATATGAAAAATAGTGCCCAATA